ATGGTTATTCCACTAGATTGTCACCAATGCAATGTTGTGAGGAGTTCGTGTTCCTCTTTGACTGGCACTGGGTTGTTTCTTGAGAGTGTAGAGTTAAAGTCGTCGCAGATTTATACTATATTACTCCGGGAGTGTGGTAGCTGGAGTACCAAGGGCAGGCACGGAGGGAAGAAGGAAAGGAGAATGAGAAAGTGCGACAGGGAAGAGGGAGTGAGAACGAGAGCCATATACATAAATATTATTCGAGACAATCTGGACGGCAACCAAATATATATCACACAATTACAATATTCAACAGAATACAAATACAAACCCGGAAAGAGTACCCAAGTCCCATGTTTTTTTTTTCCCTTACCTTTTTTAATAACAGACAGACATAACAAAGACCACACACACAGCTCCCATACCAAAAAAAAAAGCAAAAAAAAACACACCTCGCCAAGTACCCAGTGCCTGCGAGCGACCACCTCCCAGCAGAAGCGCCACCAACATCGACCGATCAGAGTCAGCAATTTCTTCTCCAACAGCAGAGTCAGCATCGCCAGCAGGTCCTCAAAACAACAACAGTACCAAACAGAACGCCACAGCAGGAGGCTTCTGAAATGCTCCTGCCACAACAACAATGCCGCAAATGTACTTAAAGCCGGTGTCGTTTTGTGGGTAAAAGTGTCTCCTGTTTACGTACAAAAAGAAAATCTGAGCCCCAGCCGCCGTTCAAGATGTCAGAAACAGACGAATAAATAAAATAAAATAAGAAAATATAGAATGAACAGTTAAAAAGAGATGAGTTTATTACATATCAAAATAAATTTATAAAGCAAATCGAAACCAAGAGAAGAAAAAGAAGAAAAAAAATGTAAATGTCAGCATCCAGGAAGAGAAGAAAAGTGGCGTCCGTCCCGGGGACTCGATACAACGAAGTGAGAGAAATGAATCAATGAAGTAATATCGACCTATCGCTTAAATGTCACACTCCCTTTGGCTTCACCCTTCGGCTTCACCCTTGAAAGTCCCCCCTCGACTTCGCCCTAAAGCTTCACCCTTGAAAGTCACCTCTCGACTTCGCCCTAAAACTTCATCCTTGAAAGTCACCTCTCGACTTCGCCCTAAAACTTCATCCTTGAAAGTCACCCCTCGACTTCGCCCTAAAGCTTCACCCTTGAAAGTCACCCCTCGACTTCGCCCTAAAACTTCATCCTTGAAAGTCACCCCTCGACTTCGCCCTAAAACTTCATCCTTGAAAGTCACCCCTCGACTTCGCCCTAAAGCTTCACCCTTGAAAATCACCCCTCGACTTCGCCCTAAAACTTCATCCTTGAAAGTCACCCCTCGACTTCGCCCTAAAACTTCATCCTTGAAAGTCACCCCTCGACTTCGCCCTAAAACTTCATCCTTGAAAGTCACCTCTCGACTTCGCCCTAAAACATCATCCTTGAAAGTCACCTCTCGACTTCGCCCTAAAACTTCATCCTTGAAAGTCACCCCTCGACTTCGCCCTAAAACTTCACCCTTGAAAGTCACCTCTCGACTTCGCCCTAAAACTTCATCCTTGAAAGTCACCCCTCGACTTCGCCCTAAAGCTTCACCCTTGAAAGTCACTCCTTGACTTCGCCCTTCGACATCACCCCTCGATTTATTCCTCGACCTCACCCTTACGCTTCACTCCTTGACTCCTCCCTCCGGATCCCCTTTATTTTATTTTTTATTTCTATTTTATTTTTTTCCATTCGTCACTAGGCCCGCAAGCTTACGGTCATGGGGGTTGGGAGCCGGACAAAAAGTGATTTCTGTTTTGCTGTCCTCTTGCTGTTTCATTTTTTCATTTATTATTATTGTCATTATCGTTATCAATATTATTATCATCATTATCATCATCATCATCATCATCATCATCATCATCATCATCATCATCATCATCATCATCATCATCATCATCATCATCATCATCATCATCATCATCATCATTATTATTATTATTATTATTACTATTATCATCATTACTTTTTTTTATTTATTTATTTTTTTTTTGTAAAGGGATTTGAGATGATTTTTTATCCCATCGTTTTTTTTATCTCTTCTATTTTTTTCTTTCTCTTATCTTTCTATATCTATGTTTCTTTTAAGCTTTAGTTTTTCCTGTACTGTATCATCTTTTTCCCTCTTTTACGCTCTTGGAGAAGGAAAAGGAGGAGAAGGAGAAGAAAACAAAATAGGGAAAGAAAAAGAACAATAACAAGAAAAGAAAGAAGAAAAAGCAAAAATACGAAGAAGAAAAAGAAAAAAGAAAAGAGAGACTGACTGTTCTGAATTCACTCACCTCCGAAAAAATGTGTGTACACGCTATTGCTTACCGCATGTATGCATCGAAGGAGAAAACACGCACACAAGCTCAACAACGCGCGCGCACGCCCACAAGCACACACACACACACGGAGTACGCGAGTGACTGCGAACGCATGTAACTTTACTCATGTCATTAGCTACGAAAAAAACAAACATCCACATAAATCCATGTAAACCATCCGATGCAAATAAATCATCCACATAACCGCCGACATCCAAATATCAACACGAGGCTTATCTGTAGCATTTCCGGTAGCTTTTTCTTTCTTCCTTTTTTTTATTTGTTTATTTCTGTGCTGCTCTATAATCGCATAATGACAGGAAAGGGGCCGAGGGAGAGAAAGGTGAGGAGAAATGTCTAATAAAAGAGAATGCAGGAGCAGGATGGACGGACGGACAGACACAGACGTTGTCTCTTCCCCTTCTTTTTCAGGTCTGCTTCCCCTTTCCTCATCCTTCTCCACCTCCTTCTCCTACCTCCCTCCCTCTCTCCCCCTTCTTCTCCTTCACTTTCTCCTCCTCCTCCTTCACCTTCACCTCCACCCCCACCTTCCATCTTCCACCTCCACCTTCCATCTTCCACCTCCACCTTCCATCTTCCACCTTCCATCTTCCACCTCCTATCTTCCACCTCCTATCTTCCACCTCCTATCTTCCACCTCCTATCTTCCACCTCCTATCTTCCACCTCCTATCTTCCACCTCCTATCTTCCACCTCCTATCTTCCACCTCCTATCTTCCACCTCCTATCTTTCACCTCCTATCTTCCACCTCCTATCTCCCACCTTCCACCTCCTATCTATCATTATTTTTTTTTATTATTATTTTTTTTTTTGTAAAGGGATTTGAGATGATTTTTTTATCCCATCTTTTTTTTTATCTCTTGTATTTTTTCTTTCTCTTATCTTTCTATATCTATGTTTCTTTTAAGCTTTAGTTTTTCCTATACTGTATCCTCTTTTTCCCTCTTTTACGCTCTTGGAGAAGGAAAAGGAGGAGAAGGAGAAGAAAACCAAATAGGGAAAGAAGAAGAAGAAGAAGAAGAAAAGAAAGGGAAAATAGCAAAAAGAAAAAGAACAAGAACAAGAAAAGAAAGAAGAAAAAGCAAAAATACGAAGAAGAAAAAGAAAAAAGAAAAGAGAGACTGACTGTTCTGAATTCACTCACCTCCGAAAAAATGTGTGTACACGCTATTGTTTACCGCATGTATGCATCGAAGGAGAAAACACGCACACAAGCTCAACAACGCGCGCGCACGCCCACAAGCACACACACACACACGGAGTACGCGAGTGACTGCGAACGCATGTAACTTTACTCATGTCATTAGCTACGAAAAAAACAAACATCCACATAAATCCATGTAAACCATCCGATGCAAAGAAATCATTCACATAACCGCCGACATCCAAATATCAACACGAGGCTTATCTGTAGCATTTCCGGTAGCTTTTTCTTTCTTCCTTTTTTTTATTTGTTTATTTCTGTGCTGCTCTATAATCGCATAATGGCAGGAAAGGGGCCGAGGGAGAGAAAGATAAGAAGAAATGTCTAATAAAAGAGAATGCAGGAGCAGGATGGACGGACGGACAGACACAGACGTTGTCTCTTCCCCTTCTTTTTCAGGTCTGCTTCCCCTTTCCTCATCCTTCTCCACCTCCTTCTCCTACCTCCCTCCCTCTCTCCCCCTTCTCCTTCACTTTCTCCTCCTCCTCCTTCACCTTCACCTCCACCCCCACCTTCCATCTTCCACCTCCTATCTTCCACCTCCTATCTTCCACCTCCTATCTTCCACCTCCTATCTTCCATCTTCCATCTCCACCTTCCATCTTCCACCTCCACCTCCCATCTTCCACCTCCACCTTCCATCTTCCACCTCCACCTTCCACCTCCACCTCCACCTTCCATCTTCCACCTCCACCTCCACCTCCACCTTCCACCTCCTCCTTTCCTAACATCCACCTTTTACATCCTTTAAAACTTGAATAAATGCCAAGGTTCGAAGTAAAGGCAGGGGAAGAGAGTCATTTATGGGCGGTTGCCTAAAACTGATATTGAAAAACAATATATAAAATCTTCAAGCGAGGTTTAAAAACATGGATGGAGAAAAAATAAAATAAAATCTGGGACTTATGGAAATAACGCCGCCTGAGAGCAGACTGGGATGGATCCTTATGCCTCTTTACAATGCTTCTCTTCCTCTTCGACTCCTCCTCCCTCCTCCCTCCCTCCTCCCTCCCTCCTCCCTCCCTCCTCCCTCCCTCCTCCCTCCCTCCTCCTCCTCCTCCTCCTCCTCCTCCTCCTCCTTCTCCTCCCTTCCCTCCTCCTCCTCCTCCTCCTCCTCCTCCTCCTCCTCCTCCTCCTCCTCCTCCTCCTCCTCCTCCTCCCTCCTCCTCCTCCTCCTCCCTCCTCCTCCTCCTCCTCCTCCTCCTCCTCCTCCTCCTCCTCCTCCTCCTCCTCCTCCCTCCTCCCTCCTCCCTCCTCCCTCCTCCCTCCTCCCTCCTCCCTCCTCCCTCCTCCCTCCTCTCCCTCCTCTCCCTCCTCCTCCCTCCTCCTCCCTCCTCCTCCCTCCTCCTCCTTCCTCCTCCCTCCTCCTCCCTCCTCCTCCCTCCTCTCCCTCCTCCTCCCTCCTCCTCCACTTCCTTTTCGATTCCCGCCCCCTTCTCTTCTTCGGTCCCCAGTTTCTCGTCTAGCTTAACCTTTTGCCCTCTCCCTCTCCCTCCCCCTCCTCTTCCTCTTCCTCTGCGGCTCCCACTCCCTCCTCCTCCTCCTCCTCTTCGGCCCCCACTCCCACCTCCTCCTCTGCCTCTGCCTCTTCCTCTTCGGCCTCCACTTCCACCTCCTCCTCCTTCCTTTCCGATTCCCACACTCGTTCTCCTCTTCTTCGATCCCCTAATTCTCCTCTTCCTCATCTTTTTCGACCCCTTCTCCTTCCCCCTCCACCTTCTCCTTCCCTTCGGCCCTCTCCCCTCTTCTTCCCCTTTCTTTTTAATCCCTGCCTCCCTCCTCTTCTTACTCCGACCCCATTCTTTTCTCTTCCTCAATCGCCTATTCCTCCACTTCCTCCTCGGCCCCCTCTCTCATTCCTCTTCTATTTCGATTCCTTCTCCTGCTGTTCCACTTCAGCCACCTACCACTTCTCCTTCCTCTTCCTTTTCGACTATCTTACCCTCCTCTCCTTCTTCAAACGCCCCTCCCCTTCTTCTTCTTCCTCTCCATCTTCGTACATCCCCCCTCCTCTTCTTCCTCCTGACATCCCTCCCCTTCCGCTATCCCCTGCCCCTTCCCTTCCGCTCCATCCCCGAAGTTTATGTAATCAGTGGCAGGGCGTGTCTGGCTCACCTCCCTCGACACGACGCACGCACGCACACTCAACGTGCCAAGTCGCCACATGGCAGCCCCATGTCACACGCGGGGCCTGTGTTCCTCAGTCCCGTGGCACTTCCCAGATCTCAGCTACATCCTCTGCATTCCAAGGGCAAACTATTTTTTTTCGACGTTGCAATGGTGACTTTCCTATTCTTAAAAAAAAAAATCTTTGTTGTGTTCGCAGAGGTAGCTTTTCTCTCGTTTTATCTATTTTCTTTTCGTTTTTTTCTCTCTTTTACAAAACAACCCCGAGACTATCAATTAACGATCCTTACGTCTCCGTAACGTTGGCATCTCGTAAAGACGAGGAAAAGGTTCGACACTAACCTTTTCTTTTTCTTTGTTCCCCCTTCTCTCTCCTATTCTCTGCAACATCTTCTCTCTCCTCTTCATCCCTTCCCTCCTCTCTCTCCCCCATCCTTATCCTTCCCTCTTCCTCTCTCCCTTCCGTCCATATCTGCATTTCCCAGATGACGAAGATAAAAAAAAAAAATCACAATATAAATACGCCGCCATCGCCACGCCCGGCCTGACTGCCACAGCGACCGGAAGTGACAGGTCGTCGCCGAGGAATGGCAGGCCGCAAGAAGACGCTCGATGACGACGACGATGACGACGACGACGACGACGACAACGACGATGACACAAGGCAGGAACAGAGGCCTCCCCTCCCCTCCCCTCCCCCTTCTCCCCCTTTCCGTTTCCTTGCGCTGGGTACGGACTTGATATCTATTTTTTGACATTTTTTTATCGACGCATGTCCTCTTCCCTCTCCTCCTCCCTGTCTCTCTGTCTCAGCTGCGGTTTGATCTCCGTCTCCGTCTCCATTTCCTTTCCAGATTTATTTTTTTAGTTCTTTTCGATTTCCATTCATAGGCGTCAATCGATTCGCTT